CTACTATTTAACGTCTACATGAAATCTCCAAGTGAAGTCATCCATTTGCATTGCCTAGTCACCCCTTGGCAGGATTATTGCATACTGCCGTACATTAGATTAACTTTGAAAAACCATGCAGAAGCTGCTATTGATCTGAAATACAGTAGTAATTATTGAAGCACTTTGGTGTACTCCTGTAGCAGCACTTTACTAGTGCCTCATAAACTTCCATGTGTAATTCAAAGTACTGGTTACCACTTAAAAAGCCTCTTGTAGCATAATGCCAAATTATTGCAGGACAACAACTTCTGTCCAATCATTTCTCTACATCCTGGCAGAAGGGGCATGCTCTGGGTCCATTCCATGAAACAGTGTCACCTAGTGGGATCCAGGGGATATCCATAGTCTAGTGAATGCGTGGGCATCTAATACTTTATATCTCAAACAATTGGGGGGGGGGTTACATTTATTGTTTCAGGAGTTCTAATGTATGCAGGTACCTTTGAATGCATGCAAATAACATAGATGAATAGATTGATTTGCACCAGAGGTTATCATGTACACATAATTTTAAATAAACATTCCAAGATAAAGATTATTTTCCCCCAATACTGGTATATTTCTTTTATACAATCTGAAGTTTAGTCCCATAAATAAGAACTTTTAAGCCAAGTGAAGAAATGAATTCTTCAATTTTCTCACTGAGTTCTGTGATATTTAAATATGCTACATTTTGACTAGTCCTTGGTACTAAAAAGAAACATTTGTCATTTTTCTCAATTTGTATTATAAAATCAATACATTTACTGCTACTTCTGGTTGGAGCTATCCTACTGTGTTTTTCTTTAAAAGAAAGAATTACATTTCTTTCCCTTTTTTTATCCTTCTACTTGTTATGTTCACATTATAGTCATATGCAATGAATAAATAAATAAATAAATAAATAATTCTTGCTTTTGGATCTGTTTGTCATATTACACAGCCATTTTTCATAAAATGTATATTGTTTTATCACTTCCTTATTCTTGCTTTCTCTGGAGATTAAACATTGACACAAATGAGGAGTGGATTTATCTTAAATATCTACTTCCCATATCTGTGGAACAGTAACCCTTGTCATTTCTAGCCTGCATACCCATTGGTGATTCTGTCTTTGTGTCTGTAAAACATCTCAAAAATTGATAAAACCATTGTCAGCTGAGGTAGCACCATCTTCTGGTTTGATCTTGAAAATGTATATCTTATTTTACTGGAACATGGTCTATGAATCAATTGGGCTTTCAAAACAAGAATATTGATAGCTACGACTGAGACAAAAGAATAGATACTTTGTAAATGGGATTTGTATATTCTTATGAAATAGGAAGGAAGGAGGCAATTTCTAGTCAAGATTCCTAATAGATTATTACTGTTTGTGTAACTGATCCAAATTTAGAGAAGATGACTATATATAGTTTGTTGCTTTATACACAGAAGCACTACAGCATAAAAGCTCCAGTTTGTCATTTTTGCTGCATTTGAGGGGTCGTTCTCATAGTCACTCTCAGCCGCCTCGAAGTCATCGTTTGTGGGAGCCAGAACTGGACCCTCCGATCCACGAGCTCAGGGGAGTTCTACAGTCTCCTTGAACGCCATCGCCAGCTCTCTTGGGCACAGTGTCATTTTCGTAGGTCTGCTGGTGGATTGTCGGTCTCCTCTCTTGGCTGGTACCTTGCTACAGCAGTCAACTGCTCAGTGTCCCTTTCCCGCACTTGAAACATGCAGTAGAGCGAGGTGTGGTTGGTGATGGCCGGGCTGTCTCAGCTCTCTTCTCCGGTATTGGCTTAAAGGTGGGTTTTACCAGGCGGCGCTGGTGCTTGCGTTGATCTACTTCCACTTCTTCTGCAAAGAGGCATCAATTGTACAATTGCCCTGGGGCCCTGTGGGCCACATAGGTGGTGTACAGGTCTTCATTTAGGCCATCCTGGAAGCAACTATTTTAATAGTTGTAGCATAGAATCCGTGAAAAATACATGAAAATAAGTTAAATTTTAAAACAAAATCCCCCCTGTATAATTTGCAGAATTCCTAATTCTACCCATTGTTGTATCATGCTCCTCATTTTTTTTCACAATTGCCCCGCCCATAAACATCCTTGGCCTCCACCATGTTAAATGTGTCTCTTGACCACAAAAAGTTGCCTTCATATAAATTGCTGTTATCAGTATGCCTTTTCAACAAAATTATTATATTTTGCTGTATGTATGTGGTGCTAACCCAGTGTGCCCATTTGGGCAGCCAGAAATGTTCTTGATATCCTGTCAAGATGATCCAGCACAACATATCATATTCAGAAATCTTTCCCCTGGCATCAGCCATAAAATAAAGCTGGCATTTTTGGCACAGAATGCAACCACCTGTTCAGTGCAGGAATTCAGAGTAAGCCACCCCTCCCCCCCCAAGAATCTAGTATCTGCCCTCTGGATTGTTATTTATGTATTTATTTAGTGTATGGCATCTACAGAAGTCATGCAATTACTGATGAAGTATGAAGACTACCTCCACAATGGTATACCCCGGGCAATGTTCTGTCTTAACAGAGTGGCTAATAGTCTATATACACAGCGACCAAACTGGATATTGCATCCCTCACAGTCAAAAAGTACAGAGATAGCAGTTAGTCTCTGGAAAGTTGTAGCATAGGTTTTGTTGGGCTAGTGTATTTCATTAAATACAAATACATATTGGAAAGTTCTAAACGGTGGGATTCAGCCAGTTCACACCACTTTGGCAGAACCTGTAACTAATTTTTTTTTGCCCAGGCTGGACTTCCAGAAGCAACACCCACACAGAGAACCGGTTGTTTCACATATTTGAATCCGACCACTGGTTCTAAACCTTCAGAAAGTTTACTTTAGAAAATGGGTACTGGCCATTCACCTTGCCTTAAAATGGACGGGACCTGTCCGAAACATGCCTTGGTAATTTCCACTCACGAGATGCATTTTGAGTTCATTATTTTGCTCTTCACAGAATTATTCCATTGTCTATTCCAGAGGTGTCAAACTCGATTTCATTGAGGGCCGCATCAGCATTGCAGTTGTCCTCGGGGGGCCGGGTAGGTGTGGCCAGGGTGGTCGCAGTCTATTGGGTGGGCGTGGCTGGAGTGGGGGTGGCCTAGTGCAGGGGTGTCAAACTCAATTTCATTGAGGGCCGCATCAGCATTGCTTTTGTCCTTGGGGGGGCGGGTAGGCATGGCCAGGGTGGGCGTGGTCTATTGGGTGGGCGTGGCTGGAGTGGGGGTGGCCTACTGGATGGACATGGCCAGCTCTTCATCGTTCGCGTCACGGGTGCCTTTGGGGGTCTGAGTAGGAGTGGGACAGATCAGAGGGTCTCTGGCAGAAGGGGGTGGGACCGGGGCAAGCGCCAAGGCATGGTCCACTGGAAGAGCCTCACTGTTCCTCTCAGGCCATGCAAGGGGGGGCTGGATGGTGCCGCGGGCTTCCCGGAGCCAGGCAGCGTGAATCCCAAAATAAGCGTGACGCCACCCAGCCTGCCCAGTTTCGGCAGGCAGCGGGGCGCTCTCCTCACAGTGCCGAGAGGCTGAGCAGGGCAGTGCAAAGCTTACCAGCTTTGCACCTTGCTGCCTGCTGAAATCGGGCAAGCTGTGGGCTGAACAGCAGCGTGCTTCTTTTTGGATTCGCACCGCCTAGCTCAGCCTCTTGGCGCTGTGAGGACAGCGCCCCACTGCCTGCTGAAACCTCTCTCCGGGAGCCCATCAAGCCAGATATGTGAAGTAGACAAGGGCCATTTGCTGGCCACTTCCAGGGGATGATGCATTTCTTCATTCCTCACAAAGGGTGACACCTCCCCAGCGCATGCCCAGGGGGCGGGGCCAACGCGGCAGGGGCCGGTCCCCTGCTGTTTCCAGACAGCCTTGTGGAGCTAAGACTGAATGCGTTTCAGCATAGATGGCCACCACAAAATAGTACATTGGCTCCTGGGCAACCTGGGCCAGGGCCAAGGCAGCGGGGGCCATTCCCTCAGTTTCCAGGATGGCTTCTTGGGCCACATGAAACCACATTGCGGGCCACATCCGGCCCCCGGTCCTTGTGTTTGACATGTCTGGTCTATTCTTTTAAATCAGTGTTTCTCAACCTTGACAATTTTAAGGCATGTGGACTTCAACTCCCAGAATTCCACAGCCAGCATTGCTGGCTGTGGAATTCTGGGAGTTGAAGTCCACATGCCTTAAAATTGTCAAGGTTGAGAAACACTGATTTAAATGCTAAAACATCCTAAAATGTTGCTGCCAACAGACCAAAAGCAATTATGCCAGATAGAAAGATTATTTGAATAACGTTTGAAGCAAAACGCTCGCTTCTCAAGGAGAGAAAGTATATTAATTAAAGGAAAACTAAAATACATGCATATTTTCTTGGAAGTTAAGCTTCACTGTGTCTTAAAAAAAAATCTATTCTCCAACATTACGCAACTCTAGTGCTTAAAAGTATTAAAATTCGGACGACCAGAAGATGGCAACAAAAACCCGTCTCTTTGCTGCTATCTAGCGGATGTGCAGAATTCTGCAGCAGGCGTTTAGCTCGTTTGACAACGCGAAAGACACAGGGCGGAATCCAACAGTCGCAATTTCGATCGTGCTGGCGGAAAAGCGGCGCATGCGTCAACGAGCAGCTCCACGACCTCAGTAAAAATGGCGCGTACAAAACACTTTCAGCCAGGAACTTGCATGATAGTTTCGCTTGTCGGCAAACCCAAAATTAGTTACCATAAAACCGACAGTTGCAAAGGATTCTTTTTAACTCGCGGAGATTCTAATGCAAGGGTTGAGTAAGTTTTCCAGAGATTTGTACTATCGTTCCCATCAGCTCCTGCCAAGATAGAGGAGCAGTTGGAACTCTTCCCCTTCCTGATTTCTCTCGGTCAACGCCTCCGCCCTGACTTAAGATGGCCGATAGACTCAAAGGGCAGGCTTTTCTCCACCGGGTTGCAGTGACGTAACTTGCTGTTCCGGGTGAGTGACAGCGGGCGCCATTTTGTGTGGTTAACGCAAAGCTAACCGGAGAGACGGAGGCAGCCGAAGCGCTGCGAGTGTCAGTCACCGGTCAGCGCAGGAGGCGCGGGCGGGGTGAGTAACTGCCGGCGTAGCGGCTGCGTTTGAGAACAGGCGGAAGCCGGCCGAAGAGTTGATTCTTTCCACCATTTGTGTTCGGCGCTGAAATCAGAACAGGCGGAGCTCGCTGCGGCGAGGCAGGGGGAGGGGACGAAGATGCAAGGCCGGTGCTCTGGGTTCGGATTAAGAACTCAGGGGGACCCGCTAGTCTACTTCGCTTCTCCGGGATGGCTGATCGTTTCCTACAGGCACATTCGCGGTACTGGTACTAACGGGGAAGGGGGGGTGGGCGGAGAGAGAGAGAAAACCGACCCCCGTTGTGCGCATGCGCTCTCATCTTGCTGGACTATCCAGGCAGCGGACTGAGATTGGGCTCGTTAACGAGCCTTGTGTGCGCCTGCGTTGAGGCCCCCTAATCTCAACGGGATAAAGCCTGGATTGACACTTGGGGCGACAGCTTAGTTCTGTTGCCATGGTTGCCACGTGAGAAGGCCAGGAGCCAAACGCACACATTGTGTTGTAAACAACATGCTGGGCCGACCTTGGGCGAGATTGCTGATAGCTAGGAGAGATGGGGTGAAAGATGTGTGTATGTGTGGCTTGTATTACTCTCGCATGGAAAAGGAACTTGTATATATTCTGATGTCGTTAGTATCATCCTGTGGTTGTTTATTCAGAAGCAGGCTTTCCCCCACTTTTAATAGGATGCCCGTGTGTCCAAAAATAATTAAAATAGTACCCGAAATTCTGGATAGCGGGGTGTGTCGGGTACAAAAAAGAGCTGCTACCTTCATGTTATCTTTCTGGATTGCCCAGAAAGATCAGGTTGACAACTATTGGAAGTTGTTTGCCGAACTGAATGGGACATCGATATGAAACAATACAACTGCTCTGGGTCTGGATTTGGGTTTCAAAATGTAGAATGGAATTCTTTCTGCCACAGTATAGAGAGTTGTGCCATTTCAACACAATTCCAACCCATAGCTACTGAAAAAAAGTGATAACCTCACTTTGGTTGTGTGAAAAGTAACAAAAGCAGCTCTGATGAGATACACAAGCTAAGTTGTAAGCAACCATTCATTTGCTTGTCTCTTGATTTTTTCCTTGTGGCTACAGGTGACTAGCAGAGATTTGTCATTTTAGAGGAATAATAAGCCTGGTCAATTTATTTTCAGAAACGTTGGAATTGTAAACAAAAGCAGCATAATTAGATTTATTATTGCAGATATTTAAGTTGTATGCCTAACTTTGTAATGTAGTGTCATTTTCATATCATATTTCAGATTGTATATTTCTCAGAATATGTTCTTAAAATATTGCTTAATAGGAATGCAGTGATGCTCATCTCCTTGGAGGAGGGGACTATTTTTTAACTTTCAGTTTCTAAATGAAATCAGAAATACAGTTGAGCCCAAATTTTCTGTTGCTAAACAAGACATTTGTTAAGTGAATTTTGCCCCATTTTACAACCTTTCTTGCCACAGTTAAGTGAATCATTGCAGTTAAGTTAGTAACACAGTTGTTAAGTGAATTTGGCTTCCCCATTGACTCTGCTTGTCAAAAGGTCGCAAAAAATGATCATAGGACCATAGGATACTGCAGCTGTTATAAATATGAACCAGTTGCCAAGCATTTGAATTTTGATGACATGACCAGGGTGATGCTGCAAAGGTTGTGTGAAAAATGGTCATGTCACTTTTTTCATAGCTGTTGTAACTTCGAACGGTCACTAAATGAACTGTTGTAATTCAAGGACTACCTGTATTTGTTTTAGATTCATTGATGCTTTTGCATGAATCTGTCATTTTTTTAAAGTTTCCTGATCATACTATGTTAGGAAAATATGTATGTGGTGATTAAGAGTTTTTTGCCTTTACAAACTTTATTTACCATACTTGGACCCAATGTTCAGTAAACTGAAGGCATTTTATATAATTGTTATTATTTTGTAAAGAAACATTGTGGTATGTTGATCCAGTGACTAAGAGAAATATAAATGATAATAGCAAGAACTAAGAGATTCTTTCTTGCATGCTATTATGTACACAATATTATTCTTCCCATTATAGGTATAAAGTATTTGGTAGGAAGCAATGAACAACAGGGGAAGATCAGATTCTCCCTTCATTTTTTTTTAAAGTAGATTTCAGTGATCTTGGGTGAATGAACTTCAGAATTCTTTATTGGTTTTGAATTAATAAAGAAAAGTAATGTCTTTATAGACAGAAAACTGCTAGGAGTGGCTATATTTCTTGGAATGTATGTTATTGCTTAAATTTTTGAAGATTTTCTCTTCATCTGAAGAATTTTATACTTCTAGTACTTCAATTTTATCCAGCATTTTTCCACTGTTACTGATTTTCCCACTAACCTGCCTATTTCTGAACTTTCCTGAAGCATAAAACCTTGATTTAACAGATTTTCTCCATTATTTCAGGGAGGTGTGCAGGCCCAAATCTTGTCTATTGCATCCAAATTTGATTTTATCTACCATAAAAATGGAAAGTGGAAGCAGGAAGTTAAGTTGTAGGCATCTAGTAATGCGCATATTGTGGCTACTAAGTTATAATAATCTTTGTTTTTTTTAACTTATTTTAGGTGAGTCCTAGGTTTGCTGCAAAAATACATAGAGAGGGCATGCCACCAATTGGAAGAGGACAAAATCATAAATAGTGGCATTGTGACATTGCAGCTATGTTTTGTCTTAGGAGTTGTAGGATTGTTCTTGATTCTTCTGGTTGTTGAAACACCTTATATATCCACCAAAGCTTTATTCACACATATGAGCAAATTCTGGGATAAAGTAGTATTTTGATCATTAGAGGTGCTCAACAAATATGCTTTACAATCAAATAGAGTCTGAATTCCAGGATAAAATTACAGTGGTGGAACCAAGAAAACTAGGCCATTTAAATATGGTTTAAAAACACAATGGGGAATATGTGAAATTTTAAAATATGTAAGCAAGTTTATGATCAGATTTATGCCTGTTTGCTAGAAACATCTGTGTACCAAATAAAACATTCCATTTCATGCAGTCTGAATGCAGTATTTAATGGAGCAAAGGGATTGAAAATTAAGCTTTTATACTACCTAATACCATTCTCAAATGTATATAATATGATGCAGCATTTAGAGTTGTGTAATCTGCATAGGAACCATGTGAAAAAGGCAGGAGAAAATAATTTTCTAACAGTGCTTATTTGGTTTATGGTTATCAAATTTATTTTTATGATTTATAAGGCCACCGAACTCAAATGGTGTGACTCAAAGGAAAGTATAGTTGATATTCTTAGCCCCAGTAAATAAGTTTTTTTTTCATTTATTTCATTTATTCCCTGTTTTCCAAAGATTTTTGTATAAATGATGGCTGTTTAAAAATACAGCAGAAAATCAAATTAAAATAATTGGAAATTAAAACTTGTGGCTTTAAATTTCTTGTTAAGGTCAACCCAGAATAGCAGATCTTGTAGCACTTTAAATTTGATAGACAGCTTTGCAATCAGAATGGGAAAATACTTACATTCAAATATTTTTGTTTGATGTTGCAGACTTACTAAGTCTCAAGCAATAGCAAATTTAAGCGATATCTTATATAGTTTCTGTGGAATGTTTTGATTACAAGAACATATTTTTTTTGGAATAAGGTTTGGCTAGCTTTGTGATGAATAAGTTTGGAAAAGATTGGATGTCACTGTACACAAGTGAATGGCTTAAACTGAAGCTCGTACTCAAATTTGAAATGTTATTTTTGCTCAAATAGAGAACATATAAATAATTAAAGATGTGGGATCAAGGTGGGCAGCCTTGGCAACAGTGGCCTTTGAATCAGCAGCAATGGATGCAGTCATTTCAGCATCAGCAAGATCCAAGTAAGTAAATAGCTGTGATTGTGCCTTCAGCATGAAAGTTAAGATAGTAATCCACATTTTATAAACTGGGTTTGAATGTTACTCTTTCATTCAGATAGAAAAGTTTGCTAGTGATGAGTTCACAAAGTAAAAACTGTTAGATTAAAACCTAACAAACTGTTGTTTTAGTGTATACAATATTTTGAAAGTTGTAACAGGTTGCTTCTATATTGTTTGTAAGTACTCCTTCAGACTCTTAAGTGAATAGGAAAAAAATGCTGGTAAGCAGCAATATGTGCTGAGCTAATGATTTATTTTCTATCCCAGTATGCCTTTATTGAAATTCTTAAACAACACCTTCTTCCAATGAGCATTTCCCAATTCGCTGATATGCAATGAAGGTGTTTTGGACTATTACGATAAATATCTATGTCAGCTATATATACTGTGTTTCCCTGAAAATAAGCCCTAGTTTTGGGGCAAGGCACACTTAAAAATCAAACTAAGGCGGGGTAGAGTCTGCCTCATGGGCCCTGCACCCACTTACTTGCAGCCAGGCCTCTCCTTGCCGGCTCACTTCTTCTGTGGCGTCTTCTGCAGCCAGGCCTGCATTTCTTAGTCACAGGCCTTTCTGAAAGGCCACTGCAGCCGAGAACTGAGCTATGGATTGAATCCATAGCTCGGTTCTGCAAGACCTCTGCAGCTGAGAACCGAGCTATGGATTGAATCCATTGCTCGGTTCTTGGCTGCAGAGGTCTTCTGGAAAGGCCTGACTGCAAAATGCAGGCCAGAATGCAGCTGCTCATTTGGCCCCAGAAGAAGTGAACTTGCTGGCTGGGGATGTTGGTACCAGAGATGAGTAAGGCATCCCCCAAAAATAAGACCCGGTGCCTCTTTTGGAGGCAAAAAAAAAGAGGACTCGGTCTTATTTACGGGGAAAGTCAGATATGTAACAATACTGAAAAATACAGAAAGACTATTTGAGACTATAAGTCTGTTCAATCATATGCATAATGGAAGTTCTGGTAGTTCTTAAAAACCATATTATCAAAATACATTGTACTGTAGACTTTCTAAACTTGTTTCTCTTTTAAATTTGAGATATTCTTCATTTTATAATGCACATACAAATTTTAAATTGTTCAGTATTTTGCCCAAATGCGTGCTTCTCCTTCAATAGCAGTATGCAAAATAATACAGGGAGAAGCTGGTTAAAATACTTTCTTGCTCCTTGATCCTTACCTCTTTAAGACAGGGTTGTTCAAAAAGTGATGTGTACCTCCCTTGGGGAGGTACAGACTGAGCCCAGAGGAGGTATGAAGAACCTTTTAGTTACACCGTTAGAATAAATCCACCTTTCTCAAAGTTTCATTGTATTATTTTCATAGTTCATTATGTTCATTTTGGGGTTCGAATTTTTTTAACGGAGGTGTGTACATTAAGATTACATTAAGGGAGGTTTGATGGCAAAAGTTAATGAGCTCCTCCTTTAAAATGAGGTGGACAACTTTCTTGTGGTGGGAGCTTTACTAATTTTTTGTTTTTTAAAAAAAACTTTTGACTTCTGAGACTTGGAAAGAATATATTCAATAATGTTGTGACACATCACTGGAATTGCCCTTTTATTTATTGGTGGTGGGGTTAAGGGGCAAAAAGGACCAACCTTATACCTCAAAAAGCTTCAGTCACCCATTTTGCTATTTAAAATCCCCTTACTCTTAGGAAACGTTGGCCCCATCCACTGCAAGTTGTGGGATCTCTACCTTTTCTTTAAAATGTGCTTTATTTTATCCAAACCAGCTACATGTGTGCCTTTTCCTTTATATGTCTATGCTGTCTTTCTGTTATGTTGATAGCTTTTTATTCTTTTATAAAACAAAGTAAAAAAAAGAATAGCTAGTCTATATATTCATCATTCATTGCTAACTTGAGGCAGGTGTTCCAGTTCTGTTAATTGTTACATTGTTGCAACAAACCAACACTCTGTTAACAGAGGAGGAACACAGAAACAGAATGTAGTAATCCTTGAATGCCCGAGTATTACAATTATTTCTTTCAGAGGTAGTGTTTTGTAGGAAAGTAGAAGAAAAGGCTATAAGGCACATCTATGTCAGTGATCTCTCTTTCTTGATTTCTCTCATTCACTCACATGGGATATCACTTTATATCTGAGTGTTCATATAAGTGCTTAAATTTTTTAAAACACACTGAAACTGGATCCCATGTTCAGGATTGAGTTTATAAAGCTTTGCTTATTTTTTTCAGAAATAAGTTCTTAATTCAGGGAAAGCTCAAATTTCTCAGTAGGTCAGTGGAGCATTGCTGTATGGGGTGTGGTATCAATGTTAGATTCCTCCAAAATACAGCGATAAAGTAATGCACTCTGTTATGGTGCACTCAGTGGGTTCTCTATAGATGTTGCATTGAAATGGAGTCCATGTCTAGTAATTCTTCGTCTTTAACAGGACTCTCTATGTCAGGGGTAGGCAACCTTGGCTCTTTTATGACTCGTGGACTTCAACTCCCAGAATTCCTCAGCCAGCCACGCTGAGGGGAAAGGGAGAGGTTTCCAAGCTGAGCCATGCTGGCTCAGGAATTCTGGGAGTTGAAGTCCACAAGTCATAAAAGAGCCAAGGTTGCCTACCCCTGCTCTAGGTAAACGATGCTAAGAATACTTTTCCCCCTAGCTTTTATAAAATAAAGCTGGTGTATGAATAAAGTTCAATTCTTGGTTGTGTGGTGGAAATCTATATATATTGAAAATCTAATTTCTGTTTCTAGGCCAAATTGACTGGGCTGCATTAGCTCAAGCATGGATTGCTCAGCGGGAAGCGTCGGGGCAACAGGGTGTAGTAGAACAGCAAGGAATGATGCCAAATGGCCAGGAGATGACAGCAATGGAACCTGGTCCAAACAACCATAGTAATTTTCAGAATGATCCAAATTTCAACAGGATGTGGCAGCCAGGTACGTTGTTGGTCCTTTTTTTTCCACTGCCCTTGGAATCTTCCTAGATGTAGATATAATTCTTACAAGAGCACTACTACAAATTAAATCCGATTTAGTATGCAAAATTCTATCAATACTGAGCAGAATTGAGTTAGGGCAAAATTTCTTTTATGGGAAGGACAAGGAGTATTGATTCTCTCAAGTAACTGTTGCTTGTAGAGATTTATGATATCTTCTGGATTTCTCTGCCTCAGTTAGACTTCATAAGTGGACTCAGATTGTGATCTGTAGATGCTTTGAAAATCAAGCTTTGTAACATGACTATACTATAAATTGTTAGAAAGGTTACATAAATTCAGAGTTGTATAGACAGGCATAAAAATTGAACAGGACTGGCAATAAACCAACAGGACAGAGTTATTTCCATAGTTCCCCAACAATTTTATTTGGTTCAATGCTTGTTCCCAAAAGCATTTTAGAATAGTTTTCATTAATACATTTTCTACAGCTTGAGTAAAAAAAAAAGCAACAAAAAATCAAATTACCTTTCTGAGTTAAAGAAAAGCATATTCATTGGTTTTTGAATTTAACAGAAATTTACAGCAGAAATTACCCTTGATAAAGGAATATATGTACTATAAAAAGGTTGCAATAAGCAATTAAATGGAATCATTTTTTAAAAATACATTTTAGACAATAGTATTTGAAAGAGCAGTTCCCCTTCAATTGAGGCATAATATCAATTTTTGTTGTACAGAGACGTGAAGAATTTTTTCACTGGGTCACCCATAGTTCTCCTTGTTTCAGACAAGTTGCACATTGTCATGTTTAGGATTTATCTTATACAATTAACCTGCATGCCTTTTAAAGAAAGTTACAAAAACTGGGCTTGTTCTCTTTGGGGTGTGTGTGTGTGTGTGTGTGTGTGTGTGTGTGTGTGTGTGTTGATATCTTAGCATTTAGCATCATTCCTCCTGACCTTTTGCCATTATGGGATTAATTGTACTGCAAACGTATAAAACAGGCTTTTCAAAGTGTTCACTGGAAGAAGAGAAAATATTTATTTTAAATATTATGATGTTGTTCCAGCTGGTCTTACTACTTTAAAATTTTAAATATGTCCATATTCTGTAACATAGATGTGGCTTTACAAACATTATTGAACTTCAATTTCCATTATCCATTATTATTTTACTATACTAGCCAGGACTCTTGTGACTTGTCCTTCAGAAACATAGAGCAACAAACAGAAAGTATTCAATTTCTGCTGTGTAAAATAACCAGTTTATACAAAAATGATATTCTTTGTGGCCTCTTTTTTCAACTAGAGTTGATTCCTAGCAAGTGCTGTCCAGATTCATTGAACTACTTTTTTTATCAGCCATATCCAGAATTGCCATTAGTTATATGCAATGAGGATGCTGAAAGTGATAATCTAAAATAGCTGGAGAAGCTGACATAAGTAATTATTCTCCAGAGGGATATTGTGTTAGCTTAGCCAGCAGAAACAAGAGTTTTGTGGCAACTTAAATGCTAATAAATGTATTATTACACAGCTTTTGTAGCTCACATCCATTTTATTTGACATCGATATTTTCTTTGATGATGGAGATTATTCTTATCTCTATCCTTGAAATTGTATTTCAGATCTGAAAGGCCAAATTGAGGGGAGGAAAAATTAGCTGATACAATATAGACTTTTTCCTGATTGTAATAGATGTTGCGATCTGCTTAAATATTGTTCATACAAAAGACTACTAAACGTAGTTTGGATTCATACAAAACTAGAAACCAGAAATATTTAATGATACATCTTTCATTATAAACATCAATACAGCCTGATTAACCACTAATTAAAATGATTGTTAACATTTTTGTTATGACATCAAAACAGAATGGAACATGCCCCACCAACCGCCTCATCCGCCTCCAGATCAGCCATGGATTCCTCCAGCCCCTGGATCAATGGATATCGTTCCTCCATCTGAAGATAGTAACAGTCAGGATAGTGGGGAATTTGCACCTGACAACAGGCATATATTTAATCAAAATAATCACAACTTTGGGGGACCACCACCTGATAACTTTGCAATGGGGCCAGTGAACCAGTTTGACTATCAGGTGAAACATTTGTTATTTTGATATAAGCATGTGGAGTTCCAGCAGCATTGCTCTAAATCAGATTTCAACAGAGTTTACTTCTTTATTAAAATAGATTTGTTTTCAAACATTTACCCAGCTCAATTAGTTGCACTACCAACTGTATTCTTAGATTGGCTGTAATGCATATGTTGAGATACACTGGATTAGTGTGATACGTTCTGTTTGGGATCACTTATGAAAGGTCTGAGAAAATTCAGCTGCAGGCAAATGTAAATTTTATTTACATATTACTTCCCTCCTCTATCTGCTTTTATAAATTTTACTAAGGTTTTTTTTTGGGGGGGGGGTGTCTTTTGTTTTTGCTTGTAATTGCTTTTAAAATCCCCATGTGATATTTATATAGTAAAAGTACATAAGGGATAGCTGTGTTTATATAAACAGATTCATGTTTTGTAAAGGAGCAAAATAACATCATAAGGATGAGATTAATTATTTAATATTAAAACTAAGAATAAGCCTGTAAATATGTTGAGATTCTCCATATTAATTCTCTGAATAAATAATACTTTTGTAAATAATTTATGTATAAAGAATATAAAGGTTAATATAAAGTTAAATATTGTATACAATCACGATGCATACATTTTTAGCCACTCTGAAATTGGAGTAAATCAAAACTGTAGAATACAATTTTATTTAGGGACCCAAATTCATTTGTTTGCGGCTAGTTAGTTAAAAAGTGTGCTGGAGCACTTTTATATACGTAGGCGAAAGCAGAGGATTACTCTCTAGATTGAAAGGTGGGTGGGGCACGAGAATTTCTGCACATCTGATATCTGTGCATGTTTCTGGATGTTACATCTATGAATGGAGTTCTTGGTCCAACGTAAACAGCATTAGATGTACTGTTTCAGGAACACAAGGTATGGCTACATTTTTCTCAATTATGTGTTAATGCTATACTAAGATTTGATATTACACTTAATAGATATGTACAAAGTAAGTGAAGAGACTTCATAATAAGTTACCTTTTTATGTCTTTATATAGTTTGTTAAAAGTTGCAAACTTTAATTTATTTGGTAGACTAGTCATCTGAAGTTTTGAATAAAATATATCCCATCCCATAGATCCACATTGATGTATTAATGGAACTGAGATTGAAGACAAACTTGATGAAGATTACTTACTGACAATCAGATATAATTTGGGGAAGGGTGGCACAATGACACAATTGACTGGCTTTCTGTAGCAGCTTTTCTTCTAGCAGTAACATAGCTGAAGTTGACAACATGCAACTGAAATTAATTCATTTCTTAAATCCACATTTTCCAACAGTACGGATAGCACATGAGAGAAAATCTTAAATTATTAGGAAAACATGAGATGGTTTTATTTCTGATAATGAGTAAATTTTATTTCTTGAAATCATGATTCATGTTTAAAAGAATGCACGCTTCCTCTTCCCACATACTCTGAAAAATGGTTGTACTGATATTTCAGTAATAAAAGCAAGACAAAAATTGCTTGATTGCACAAATCCTTTAAAAACAGTATGGGCAGGTTTTTTTACTCATTTATCTTTCATTAAAAGAAAAAACATCAATGTGCTTCATGTACATCATGCTCTTAATGATCAGCATTGTATATTGAGTATTTGGCAACTGATGTTAAGCATACTCTTTAACCATAAAGAGGTTATTTACTTACTTAAATTATGTCAAATAATTTTTGCTTAAGAAATGAGAATTGATCATGAAAATTTGACCTAATAAATTACTTAGACTTGTTTGCTTTCACAAGCATAATTCATTTATATTGCAGAAAAACTCTACAGTATCATGTGCTCATTAGAAGAACACATGATTTAATTCCCTTTGCCTGTCGAAATTACTTTAGGAAAAAAGATTAGAATATTAGGAACATCCTGATAACCTACAAATAAATGGCAAACCCCTAATAAAATAAAAAATAATTTATGTTCCTGTAGATCAGGGGTGTCACGGGCCAGATGTGTCATGCCGAAACTGCGCGCACCCTATTGCCGACAATGGAAAAAAAGTGGCGATATGTCACGACTTGTCACGTGACGTTGCGAGTTTGACACCCCTGCTGTAGATTCTTGGGCCTCTATTTCCTTAATGGAAGATTCCAGCTCCATATTATATGTTGTTTTTAAAACTGAATATGTTTTCTAATGCCAGAGTGTAATACAGCATGGGCTTCTCTATTACAAAATTACTTTTTAAGTGGTAAAGATCTTTTTTTCCCCATTAATCTTTGAGTTATGCCTAAAGCACTTTGAAGTCTCTAGTAGAAACAAAAAATATTCTATATAGAGATCAGGTTCCTCTTTTTTTCTTCTTTTCTTTTCTTTTCTCCCCCATTTCATCTCTTTACTGAGAAACTGTTAGGGGAATCTGCAGCATTGAGTTAAAGAAAAATGAACTTCATTACTTTTTCAGCATGGGACTACTTTTGGTCCACCTCAAGGTGGGTTTCATCCACCTTACTGGCAGCCTGGACCACCAGGGCCCCCAGGACCTCCAGCACCTCCTGCACCTCCTCAAAATCGAAGGGAAAGACCAGCATTTAGAGATCGCCAACGATCACCAATCACATTGCCTGTGAAACAGGAACCCCCTCAAATTGGTATGTCTTCAACATATTTAGTTTAATGTATGTGATACGCACATTTTGAAAATACAAGTTGCTGGTTGCTGAGTTTTACGGGCTGTAACTGAATTATGCTGTCAACTTTGAAAATGAGCGTGGCTCAGCCATTTTCTCTACTTATTTTCGGTTGACACATACCACGGAGGGAGAGGGGTTTGCCAGGTGCTTCGCTAGACTACAGATTTTCTCCCATGGGAACCAAGGCCATGGGACGACTCCGGAGAGTGGAGATTTCAGTCAGCAGTCCATAGCCCTTCACTCGAACAGTTGAAGGAGAGGTTCGGCCGGCTGGAGCTAAAAGATACAATTTCTGTTGCCCAGGAGGTGGGTGTCATGGGGAGAAATGCCAAAAACTACCCATCTCCCCCTCCCCCTCACTGGAGTTCCAGCCCAACTGCCGGAGCCTGTGCTGCTTCGCCCACCTGTCAACCAGCTGCAATACTGAGCCCTGTATCCCAGCCAACCCCGTTGCCATGGCCTCAGGATGCCAGTCCCGGAGCCCAGCCAAGAGAAGTCCGGAGAGTGGTTTGGCCACTTCCACAGGACCAGCAAGCCGCCCAAGCCCAGCAGCAGGTGCAGGTGGCCCTGCAGAGATTCGAGCTGCCTCCCATTAAGCCTACCTTCGATGAGAAGTTGATCTTCCTAAACCAGGTGTGGGCTCATTTGGATCGCTACGCTTATGCCTACCTGGATGGGGCTATGATGGTGAATGCGGTAGCGGCAAACTTAGAGGGGGAAGCAGCAGACTGGGTGACCAACCTTCATGATGAGGGGGCTCCTGAATTGCATGACATTAATCTATTCATGGAGCAACTGAGGGATCAGTTTGAAGATGAATCCCGAGTCCTGATGGCCGAGAAAGAAATCCACTGCCTGAGGCAAAGAGGCGCCCCGCAAAGGAGTATGTCCATAAATTCAAAAGAGTTGCTAACCGGTTGGGGCAGTGGCCTGAACGGTCACTGGTCAATTACTTCAAACGGGTGAGATCGCGACTTGCTTCAAGCCTGCATCATTTCTTAATCTATTACGTGAGTGTTATTGTATGACAGTGGTGCTAGACATCGAACTGGATCGCCCCAAAAAGTCAAGTACCACCAAACCCAAGCCACTGTGTGTCCAAGAGAAATGCCTCTGGACGACGTCCTCAAGCCTCTGCAGTCACCAGTGTCTCCCAAGCACCAGCCAGAGCTCCCATCAAATGCTACCAGTGTAGTCAGATGGGTCATCTTGCTGTGGAGTGCCCCCCTCCTCACCCTCAACCCAGGAGCATGCCAGTTGCTGCCACAAAACCACAAAGAGCTCCCAGAGGGGGAAGAGAACCAACTGGACACATCAAGGCCTGAGTGTCAAAGCCTCCCCTCCCGGCGAGCTCAAAGCCAAGCCCCAAGCCGAGGTGCAGCAGATGCCGGCACCATACGACAGTGAAGAGGAGAGTGAGGAGGACCCCATGATGAGTCAGCCCATTCCCCCTTTTGCCATTCCCACCAGACTGATGGTGCCCATAATGGGCTCACATGAATCTGAGTGTACTAATAGACTCATGGTGCTCTCGGTGCTTAATTAATTTACCCACTGTACTGAAACTGGGCATCCAAGCCAAGCTATTGCCGCCTCCCATGGGGTTTGAGCAGGCTGACCGGTCCCTCATCGGAGGTGCCCCTGCTATGCACCTAAGCGAACCTGTACGTTTAGAAATGGGTCGGCATTGGGAAATCATCCGTTTTGTGGTAGTTCCAAAGATGACTGAAGTAGTAATTTGGGGGCTAGTGTGGCTTGACAAATGGCGTCCTCACATCTGGTGGGAGGAGGGAATGCAAAAATTAAGACTGGGGACAGGACCCTCCCCACCTGATACTGATGATAAAACAAAGACACTGGCCATCTGCGAAACTCATGGGGAGTCCCGTGAAATTCTAAAAACTGTAGCTGAAAAGCTGCCGGGGATTCAACTTGTCCCTACTGAGTACCAATATTTGGCAGAAGCCTTTAGTGAGAAGGAATGTGACATCCTCCCCCCACACCGGGCTACGGACTGTGGTATTGAAATTCTGCCCGGTATTCTATGACATCCAAAGAGATGAAAGAACTAAGTGAGTACATTGATAAAAACTTAGCTAGGGGTTTTATTCAGCCAGCCAAATCACCCTTGGCTGTTTCCGTGCTTTTCAAGGAAAAGAAAGATGGCTCTCTTAGATTATGCGTCAATTTCAGGTCTCTCAACGCTGTCAGTATGGAAAATTCATACCCCCTTCTCCTGATGAAGGACATATTAGCCCACCTGGCTAAAGGAAATTTTTTTACCAAGCTGGATTTAAGAGAAGCGTATTATCAGATCCGGATTAGGGAGGAAAATAGCCTTTAATTGCCCTTTGGGGAGTTTCTAATTTAAAGTGATGTCATTTGGACTGCAAGGGGCCCCTACTGTATTTATGCAATTGATAAATCAAGTGCTCCATGATCATTTATACAAGGGGATTTTGGTTTATCTTGATGACATCCTTATCTACACTAAAACCATGGATTAACACATCAAATTGGTCCGAGAGGTATTAAGGAAACTGTTGAAAGCCAAACTGTATGCAAAACTGTCAAAGTGTGAATTTCACTAGACACGCCTTGACTATCTGTTGAATGAGGGGATAGAAATGGACCCTGTCAAAGTCAAAGCAGTTCTAGAATGGCAACCCCCATGCACCCGCAAACAGCCTCAAAGTTTTCTGTTGTTTATCAACTTTTATCATCAGCCATTATTGTCAGCCATTGCAATGGTTATTAGAGTGCCAGGCAGCATTCGAAAAATTAAAGAGACTCTTTGCAGCTGAACCAGTCCTTAAACACCCTGACCCCGGACAACAATTCATCATTCAAGCTGATGCAAGTGATGTGGCCGTGGGTGCCGTTCTTTTACAAAAAATCAGAGTTACAACCTTGTGCTTAACACTTCCGGAAATTAACTGAGACTGAAAGTAGGTGGGCAGTTTTAGAGAAAGAGGCTTTTGCAGTTCGTTGGGCTTTGCTGACATGGACTGATCACAAGAATTTGGAGGCTCTCAGGACTCCCCACAAATTATCCCCCAAGCAAGTTCGATGGGCTCAATACTTCAACTGTTTTAATTTCACTTTAAAATATTTTCCTGGAGGTGAGAACTTTTTGGCTGATGCCTTGTCTAGAATACCTCAGTTCAAGAGCAACCGAGAGGAAGTAATTAACTCCATTATTCCTCTGCCGCAATCCGCTTCCCAAATAACAACCAGATCGCACACACAGAGACCCCCTGCTGGTCCTGACAATCGATCGCTAAAGGAATTGAAGGAGAAGTTAGAGACTGATGCCTGGTTTAAAGATAACAAATCTATATTGACTTTAAGAGGGAGATTAGCTTGGAAAGGTTCTAAGTTATACCTCCCAGAAGGCCTTAGACTCCAAGTGTTGCAAGCGGGTCATTTTGGATTTTTAAAAACATTGCATCTAGTGTGCAGGCATTTCTGGTGGCTGAGAATGAAAAAGAACATTGAGAGTTAATATAAAAAGTTGTGCCATTTGTGCTACCATGAAGAAAGGTCCTGGAAAACCACCAGATTTATTGCAGCAAGTGGCCGATCCCTCTTAGCCTTGGGAAGAGATAGCCATGGATTTTATAGTAGAATTACTTGAGAGCAAGGGAAACACTGTGATATGGACTGCGATTGATCTATTTTCCAAACAGGCGCACTTCATCGCTTGCTCAGGACTTCCCTCTGGCCAGGAGCTAACCAAACTGGTTTTTGAAGCACATATACCGACTCCATGGTGCCCCAAAGAGGATTATTTCTGACAGAGGGGTCCAGTTTACTGCAAAGTTCTGGAGAGAGTTTGTTAAACTGATTGGGTCCTCCCAGGGGCTTTCATCTGCTTTTCATCCGAATACTAATGGAGCTGCTGAGAAAGCTAACACAATGGTGGAACAGTACCTCAGATGTTATGTAAATTACCAGCAGTCTAATTGGGCTGACCTTTTTAACTTTTGCAGAAGTAGCCTACAATAATACTGTGTACAGTAGCACTGGTCTCACCCCATTCAAAATAGTGACGGGTCGAGATTTTGTGCCCATGCCTGAGTTCCCATAGGAGCCTCCTACTTCCCAGACTTTGGACCAATGGGTGACATCTTTCCAGGGGGTTGGGGTGAATGTAAAGAAGGCATTGACCATAGCTACCAAGGTTTACAAGGAGCAAGCAGACAAACGACGTTCCCCTCAAAACCTTTTTTATGTTGGACAATTAGTTTATCTTTCAACTAAATATCTACGGTTAAAGTTGCCCAGCAAAAAATTGGGTCCGAAATTCCTTGGTCCTTTCCCCATTGTCAGGATCATAAACCCTGTGATGATGGAGTTAAAATGTCCACGATTGTTGGGGAAAGTTCACTCGGTGTTTCATTGCAGTCTTTTGAAATCTGTGTCAGAATCCACTTTAAGACCTATTCCAAAAGAGCCTCCTGGTCCAACGGTGGTAGAGGAAGAGATGCATTATGAGATAAAACGTATTCTCGATTCTAGGCTGTACAAGGGAAAGTTACAATACCTTGTCCAGTGGAAAGGTTACCCCCTTTAGAGGCTACATGGGTGAAATGTACAAATGTAAAGGCAGATAGATTGATAAAAAAGTTTTATGATAAATACCCTCACAAGCCTCGAGGGAATACCTAACCTGATTTTTGTTTCCCCTGCAGGAGACTTTTTCTTTCTGAAGAGGAGCCGACTGTCAACTTTGAAAATGAGCGTGGCTGCAGCCATTTTCCCTACTCATTTTCGGTTGACATATAGCACGGAGGGAGGGGGGTTTACCAGGTGCTTCGCTAGACTAAACAGATTTTCTCCCATGGGAACCAAGGTCATTGGCTGTTCCCGGGACTGCAGCTTGGCGTTTCGTGAAAAGCCCACCAAGGAGATGTATTGGAGAACGTAGTAGCTTGCATAGCTTTAGGGGTGGGATTTCTTAACTTTGTATTGGGGATTGTTACGTGTCTATTCAGACTTGGTTTCACTTTTGACGTGCTGATACTTTGTATCGATAAACATGTTATTTGAGGAACTTGCAAGCCACAGAGATCTGCTTTATTTGTCTCTGTCTTTCGGAACTATGACATATGCATTCTGTACTTAATTCCACCTATCCATGCTTCATCTTAAATAGAACTTTATGGTCCTTCAGCTACAGCCCAACAAATGTTCTCCGACATGGCCCATAGAAAGAATTATAAAGCTTATTAGAGACTTAACTTTTAAAAAACCTACTAGGGCTAAGAAAGTATGCTTTTATTAAGTAACTTATTTTATGATGTTGTAGATGCTGTTAAACGTAGAACTCTACCTGCTTGGATTCGTGAGGGCTTAGAGAAGATGGAAAGGGAAAAACAGAAGAAGCTAGAAAAAGAGAGAATGGAACAGCAGCGCTCTCAACTGTCTAAAAAGGAAAAAAAGGAACATAGAGAAACAGGAGAAGAGGATGCACCTCGGTTACCACAGAAAAGTAAATTTGTAAGTGGAAGATTTCCTGTATAATATTTCCAAGTTTGCATATTTAAAATGTTTCATTTTAATATTATTAAATTATTAGAAAATAAAGTTGTATTTTACCAACAGTGTTGGTAGCAAAGGCAGTAGTTTGTCCATTCTTTTCCTAATTTGTCAGGCTTCTAAAGCAGATGGATAATGTTAATTCCAAGGTCAAAAGACTGGCTTTGTTCTGGCAAAATGATGTAACGTGTCAGGCAGCCTTGATTAGGCAAAATAGACATTAACCTTCACATTTCCTTTTGCGTCAAGATCTTTTTTGATTTTGTCAATATAAATGGTCAACATTTGAGATATGAAAGTTCCTTGTTGAAGAGCTATATTTATTTTTGTTTTATAGGATAGTGAAGAAGAAGAAGAGGATTTTGATAATGTAGAGGCTATAAGTAGTGGCAAAGTCACCAGAAGCCCATCTCCAACTGCTCATGAGGAGCAGAGTGAACCAGAAATGACAGAGGAAGAAAAGGATTATCAGATGGTACAATTAATTTTTGGACTGCTGTATTCGCCATGATCTATACATTTGACTGTTAATATAATAGGAGCCAGGGTTGAAGAAAAATTTAGCTCATGAAATTCTGATTTTTTTTTAACTTAATAGATAAAATGTAATTATAAATATGTAATTTGAAAGAAATATATTTAAACTTAACTAGGAAGGTTTCTTTTGATTGTTAACTGTTATTGAAATAACAAATGAGTTAAAGATTTCATCCTTAGATATTAAGAAAAGCTGCTATTCTTTAGTCCAGACATGTCAAACACAAGGCCCGGTGGCCGGATGCGGCCTGCGAAGTGGTTTCATGTGGCCCGCGAAGCCATCCTGGAAACAGTGAGGGAACGGCCCCCTCTGCCTTGGCCCTGGCCCAGGCCAGCCGGGAGCCAATGTACAATTTTGTGGTAGCCATCTATGCTGAAACGCATTCAGTCTTAGCTCCATAAGCCCCCCCCCCGCATGGCCTGAGAGGAACATTGAGGCTCCTCCAGTGGACCATGCCTTGGCACTTGCCCTGGTCCCATCCCCTTCTGCCAGAGACCCTCATATCTGTCCCATTCCTGCCCAGGCCCCCACAGGCACCCTTGATGCGAACGATGTAGAGCTGGTCTCACCCACTCCATCCACGCCCACCCAGTAGGCTGCACCCACCCTGGCCACACCCACCCGTCCCCCTGAGGGCAACCGCAGTGCTGATACGGCCCTCAATGAAATTGAGTTTGACACCCCTACTTTAGTCAAATTATTCTAATGGAGACACCAACAACTGTTGCTAAGTTGAAATTTTATTGGTGTGCCAATACATTTGTTGCATCAAAGTGTGTTAAACTGAGGGTTGTTACAATGAAGGTTTACTGTTGAATAATTGTTTTACTTGATATTTTGCATAGGATTCCATATAACTATTGATAAATATGCTGGTGAACAAAGAGACAGTAGCTACAGTTGCAATAGCTACATTAGGCATGGCAAAGGCTTAAAAATGTCCAATTATTGATTCTTAGCAACAAAAATGTATTTCCTCTTGACATAAAAAAAGATGTGAGATAAATTTGTTTTTCTGATTGTTGCCAAATCCTTTGCTATTTCTTTTTCAAGAAGTGAGATGCCTTGAATTGAGGTAGTTGAGAATAGCATCTGAATGAATATGTTTATTTTTAAATTCGTTCAGATGTTGCTGACAAAAATGTTGCTGACAGAAATCCTCCTAGATGTCACCAATGAAGAAATTTATTATGTGGCTAAAGATGTCCATCGTAAAGCAATAAAAGGTATGTTTAGGGTTCCAATAGGTTTATTAATTGTCCTTGCGCATATCTTGGAATAGTTTAAAGTATATAAGCATATATTCATATATAATATCTGCATCTAAAATAATTTAAATGTAAAGTTCCAAAAATTCATATTTGTAATCATATATTGTTGTTTTGCGCAGTTTATAGCGTTAAATTTTTCCTTTTTTTTTTCAATTTAACTTTTTTAAAAATTGTAATGAGTTTTTAAATAAAATTTTCTAGTTGAAATTTAGATGAGCAACCCCAATAAAGCAAACTTGTGTAATAAAATGTTTTTGTGATCCTGCTAGTCAGCTTTTTTTAAAAAAAAACAACAGTAACTTTATTTCATATAACTGTGTAAATTAATTAATATACTGATTGCAGGTAAAATGTATTAATCCGTTAATGCCTTGCTCTAAAGAACTGCCTTTTTAATTGTATCCATCATTAATTTACCGTTTAAATTTCTAAACAATCATGGCCAGAAATTACTGGGCTTTCAATGGATGATACGTGTTTAATGTTTTTTCTCTCCTCCACAAAACAGCAATAGTAGTAGATTTAACAATACCATAGACTCTCATGACTATGAAAACGTGGCTATTTGTGTTAACATGTTGTTCCTGTTGTTGATGTGATACAAAGCTCCTGCAAAACAGCTGGCACAGTCCAGTGCATTGGCTTCCCTCACTGGACTTGGTAAGTATGCTCCTGATTTTTGAGAGGGACTTAATGGGGAGAGCTGTCGCTTGCATTCCTAAATATGTATTGAAACAAGAGTGAAACTATCCGATACGCATTAGGCAAGCATCCAGTAACTTAGGATAACTTATCTCACAAAAGCTATACTGAAATCTGTGAAAAGTAGTACTCTTTCTGTGCAAGCCTTCCCTGAGATTGGAGGTTGGGTGTTTTTGGCCAGATATTTAACATGGCATCTAAAAATACAAATGGACTTGAATGATTTGTATTATTATTTTTTAATGTTACTGTGTTAATGTATGTTTAAATTTAAAAAAAAATCACCATAACATAATACTACTTTGTCTTGCCAAAAATCCCACACAACAAATGCATAGTTTGAATTCTCATAGCTCGTGCTTGGTAATAGAACCATGCTGGCTATGAAATTCAGAATTGCATCCTACGTTGTAATAGATTGTGTAAAAAACTTTGCATGTCAGTGTAACATTGATAATGCTGTCGTATTATTGTGACATTAAATAAATATATTATTTCGACCACCACGATGAATTCTTCTGTTAGTTTAAATGTATTTGGTAAATAAAAATGAAGAACCTGGGAAAGAAAGTAAAAATGCTTCTGAACCAGATGCTCAAGATTACTTTCTACCAGTTTTTCAGGTCTACCTTTTGGGGGAAGAGAAGTCCATTCCTATTGCATATCTGTACCTTTTTAACGTACAGTCGTTTCTGAACACTAGACAACTGATTGGCATTGGGACTTTTTAAAGCCCTGGATATTGAAGCTGACTGAAATCACTGTAACGATATCTTGAAGGACAGATCTTAGGCCTTGCACCTCAGAGTCTATTTTCTTGCTGATGTATTCTAAGCATTTGGTTCTGGCTCTGTAAAGAGCTTTTTTACTCATATTGAGCAGAAAGTATGTAATCTTAGCGATTGCTTGCTTGAAAACATGGCAAGCTATTCCGGACGAAGTAAAACCAGATACTGAACAGCAGGTCAGATGTGTGGTCCTTGAACACTCCAGTCAACCAGCATTGGCACTTCCTCCAGAATAAGTGGCTTCTTCAGTGAAGAAGTGAAAGATGGGCAATCTGCACTCCTCTTTGCCCTGCAGAAATATTAAGAACCAGGATTAATCTTTCCTCGTGATAGACTAGGCTTTATGCACGCAGGTGGACTGGGTGGTTATGGATCAGGAGACAGTGACGATGAGAGGAGTGACAGAGGCTCTGAGTCATCTGATACTGATGATGAGGAACTACGGCACAGAATCAGGCAAAAACAAGAAGCATTTTGGAGGAAGGAGAGAGAACAGCAACTACTGCTAGAGAAACAGCAGGAAGGTATGTGTATATGTATAGGGGGAGGGACTCTTATGCTTATAGCAGAATACTTTAACCTCTTAATATGTTAAATCTATGTGTAGCATTTGATGAGGCAGTTAGGACAGAAGCCTCTTTTGTGCACACGTGCACAGATAAGGCCTTGAAATAGCCATGCCATGTCTTTGTGGTGGCTTTATACCTTAGTGCAGTGATGGCGAACCTTTTAGAGACCGAGTGCCCAAACTGCAACCCAAAACCCACTTATGCATCGTCAAGTGCCGGGTGGGTGTGGCCCATTGGCTGGGCGTGGCCCATTGGCTGGGTGTGGCTGCGGTGGTAACCGCAGACTGGGCAGGACTAAAAAGTTCAATCAATCAATTCCAACTTTGCAAGATCTTTTTTTTTCCTGCAAGAAGTTGAAATTGATTGATTGATTGAACCTTTTTTTTTTTTTTGCACACGGTGGCGGAGGTCTAAAGCGAAAAGGTTTTATAAAACCCAGCTGAAGGGCTAGGACTGGGGCGACGGCCCGTGTGCCCACAGAAAGGGCTCTGAATGCCTTCTCTGGCACCCGTGCCATAGGTTCGCCACCACTGCCTTAGTGATACAGATCCATAGAGGCCTTTCACAAACACCTAATCAGATGATCTGCACAGGCCTAACTTATTATGTGATATTATATACCCAAGCAAAGCGATTGAACTTATGGTAAACTAATTATAGGAAATCAGGTTATGGTTACTCCTGCCTCTGTTGTATGTTCTCCTGAGAGTCATCCAATGAGTTTTACTGCCATGGAACAATTGTAGAAGAATTACTATTCTTACACATTTTATCTTAAAATTGTTACTGGCCAGAAGAACAGGAATAGTTATGAATCGGTTCCACTTTATTTGTATGATTTTGGGATCTGTTTCTCTTTGGCACACATTTTACAGAAGAAAAACTCCAAAATGAGAGAATTGCAAAAGAGATGAGTGAACTTGCCAGTAAAGAGCAAGGCAGCAATTCACCACTAGAAGATGTGAAAGAAGCCGAGGAGGAGGATGCATTTAGTGAAAAGAAAAAGTCTCCAAAAGAAATAACACCAGACATCGAACCCAAAAAAGAGATTAAAGAAAAAGAGAGAGCAGGAAGGAGTAGGTCAAAAAGTTCAAGTAGTGCTAGCTCAAGTAATAATAGCAGAAGTAGCAGCAGTAGCAGCAGTAGCAGCACAGCTAGTAGTTCATCTTATAGTAGTAGTTCAGGCAGCAGTCGTAGCTCTACACATTCTTCCTCCCCCAAAAGAAAAAAAAGACGTCATAGTAGGTCACCTAAAGTTAGGCGTAGCAGAAGTAGGAGCTATTCACATAGAAACAGAAGAGAAAGGAGTAGGAGCAGGGGTAAGGTAAGAGAAAGACAGAGATCTAGTAGACACAAGAGTATAGAAAGAAGGGAGAGGAGACGAAATCATAGTCCTTCCCATGACCGAAACTGGGAAAGACGTAGAAGTGATAGTCACTCAAGAGATAGACTTACTAGCCATTTCACTCGTAGTGGGAGTCGAGATAGGCATAAAAGTGAAGACCAGCACAGGAACATAAGCGGGAACAGGCACAAACATAGTCACGACAGCAAAATTCAAGAGAGAAAAAAGGAACGCAGTAGGAGCATAGAGAAAGATAAGAAAAAGAACAGGGAGAGGGACCGAGATCAGGAGAAGCGCAGGGAGAAACAGAGAAAAGAAGACAAAGACAGTAAAGCGGGCAATCACGAAGAGAGATTAAAAAGAAAAAGAGATAGCGAAAGAACTTTCTCTCGTAGTGATTCCTTGTCTTCCAAAATGGTAAGGCATGATTCTAGGCAGGAAAGCAAGAAAAGTTCTACCAAAGAGAGCAAAAAGCATTCAGGTTCAGAAACTAGCACAAGAAGCAGTTCTGAGTCACGGGGCAGCAGCAAAGAAAAGAAGCCGAAGAAATCCAAGCATAGTCGGTCACAGTCCATGGAGAAATCTCAAAGGTCTGGTAAGAAGGCAAGCCGCAAACACAAGTCTAAATCACGATCAAGGTAGTATTCTTTTAAGTATTTTGCTTGATTTATATTATTTTTTTTTATATTTCGATTCTTCATCATGCTTGCCTGCAACATATTTATATATATATTGCAAATTAAACTAATTTCCGTAGATTATCCTTCTGGTGGGATGGGGAGATACCTTTGATCGCTTTTTTTTTTAAAAAAGAAAAGAAATACAGTTATTAAGCCTAACGTGTATGCTTTCTGTGATTCTTTTCCCTTTAATTTTCCCCACTTTTTCTTTATTTTTCAGATCAATGACTCCTCGTCGTAAACACTGAGGAATGATATGACACTAGTCATAATGATTTAAAAATTCCATGAGTTTTTAAGGGCTTGTCTCATTATAGAGGCTCATTATAGAGGCTACAGTTGTGGCTATGTAGATGAAAGCTGACCCCTTTTTTAAAAAAAAGATCTGTAAATAGCTGTATTTTTTGGAAACACTGCTCGGAGTTAAGTACTTGCTAGGATTTCTTTGTATTTACATTTTTCAAAACAGTAGTGCTTACCTAAGGCTATGAAATACGTCATTCTCTTTCAGCTGTAATGTTCTTAAATTGCTATTGAATGTACTGTGATGTCAATAAAGTTCTTTAGTTCATTTTTGTTTAATTCTTCTATTTTAATTTATTTTAAATATTTATTTGCAAGGCATTTTTCTTTTGTAAAATGCTTAATAATTTAAATTCGGGGTTTCATCTTTGGATAAATTTGAGTCAATCCTCTGATAAAATAACTGTTTGGGGGAAAAAACCCAAAGGTTTTTGTTTTATTTTAATGGTATGTTTCATCATACTGTGTGTGAATGAAATGTGGATTATTACTTTAAAACATACCAAGACTAGCCAAACAGAAATAGTAATTCCAAGTAATTTAACTACTTACATGAAATAAGTTTGGAACACTCTTCCTTGTATGATTGGAGAAGTTAATATTGCTTTTGACTCAGTTTCTTTCTGTAACTATAATGTTAGAGGTCACTAAAATAACCTTGTGTTAACTGGGTCTAATCTTACAACTTACCAACTAAGATGATGATTGCAAAATAAAAATAATGCTGTTTATAGCATCTTGGCAAATGCTAAAGTAAGCAGTTTTTTGCTTGGTAAACATGAACTCAAAAGAGATCTTGGTATTGAAAGTAGGCTTAAGCATCTTACATCTTCCCGGTAGATGGGAATTTTTCATTTTGATTTTTCATTTACTTCAAAAAGTTAATGGCATCTCTTAGTATTTAGCTTTTGAAATATAATTGCGCGCACTAAATTTACGGGGTTCAGGAAGTAGAGTTGATACTATCCTAATGAGCGTAATACCTGAAAAAATATGGACTAAGATGTCAATATCATTCTATGTACTTTGAGTAACCCTCTTCATGTATTGTACCTTCCAGGTGCATAATACCAATAGTCCTTGCTTAATGACTGGTCGCTAAGCGATTGAAGTTACAGCAGACCCCTGTAAGCTGCTTACAACCTGGTCCTGAAACTAGAGCTGCTGCAGCATCCCTCCAGTCATTTGCCTTTACAACCGATTGCAGGGACACTGACGGGCTCCCCCTATTTAATTCACCCCCAGCAGATCCCCACAGGGCTTGGGTCTCTTCCCCACCCCCACATCAAGCACCGCACATTTACCTTTTGAAGATATCCAGAGTTCTGTGTGATTTGGGTAGCCATATGGCAGGATTCCAGAAGTGGCCACCATTTTTTCGAGCAGCCTTCTAGTCGCTTGTTTGAGTTGGTAGTTTCTTGATTGGGATATTGTTTACCACTTGACAAACAACAGTAAACAACAATCAAGGAACCATCAAGAAGAAAGCAACACTCCCACCCGCCCTTCCAGGCATGCCATTTATATATAAACCAAGAGCAACCCCACTCCTTTCTAGCACTGATAATGTCATCTAGTTAGGTAATGAAATGTCTGCAAGGAAACAACCAAGCTCAGAGAGTACCAAGCACCCCACACACCCCAAACCTCCTGGACAAGAAAAGTGAGGATTTTTTTTTTCTAAACACAAACTTGAAGCACCTAGTGCTAGTGTATATTAATTGTAGGTGAATGTAATACACATTTTGTAGCAATCATATTTATAGATCGAGTTTCCTCTATTTTACTTCTCTCATTTTCCTACTTAGAAAAGGAAAATAAGGCCCCAAAAGAAGATTTCTGTAATAATGGAAAATTAAATGTTTGTTTCTGTATATAACTTGCTCCAATAAAATAATTACAATACTGTTTCAGTTTGTTCTTTTTAACATACCAGCACGCACTTAACTTTTTAAAAGAAACTAATGAGATTATTAGGTTATAAGAGAATGCAAGAGAAACAAGCACTAAGCGTCAAGGTTATGTTGACTCATAAAAGTAGAAAACTTTGAACTTCACTAACCTCTCCCTTATGTAATTGTCATACAATATTGTTAATATAGAGGAAAAATGAACGTAGGAATGTAGCACATTTGCTTTGTCACAGAGAAGGCATTTATTTACATACAATACTTTTATTTACATATATTTCTATGTATCCAGCTTCCAAGACTCCGGGTAGCTTACTATACAAAAATAACCAACAGATTCCATACAATCTTACAATCAACCTACATAACAGTAACTTATTAAAAATACCTCCCTTTTTACAACCCTATAGTCCCGTAATTTGGGGTAGAGTCAGGGCAACTGAATGGAGCTGAGCGTTTACTGGCCAGATGCCCTTCCTGACGCTTTGCAGAGTTCGCAGATTTCTTTGTCCCTACAGGATAAAAATCAGAGAAACAAATGCACCCTTGCTTATCTCATCCACATACTGTCTTTGTTCTAGCATTGAAATGGCTTGCTAACTTAGAATTTGTTTTTCAAAAATGGCTGTGCCCTTATATTTATTCCTTCCACACCCATTCTGAGGAAAGTTAAGCTGAGGATAACCAGCCCAAAGTCACCAATAAAACTTCTGTGAGCGAAGTAGACCCAGAAGATGAGTATCACTATTTAAAGTCCAATAACCTTAACTAGCATACCATACTGGCTTTTTTTCTATGGAGTTTCTCAATCCAGGTCATGGTTGTCCCAAAGGTGCTTTTCCAAAAGGCAACTGAACTTGCTTTTTTTTTCAGTTCTGAAGAAGAACTAAAGAAGCTTCTTGGATGAAAAGCGAAATGTTTTCAAGGAAAAAAACTGGTTGCCTCTTGGAAAAGCACATTTGGAACATGCTGGCTTTCACAAATCCTCATAAGAGCCCTCCAACCTTTGTGCAGGCTTACCTCTAAGTTGGTCTAAGCTGAAGTATTATCCACTGACCAACAACGCAATCTCTGAGAACACTAATTCGCCATAGAAAAGTCTTGGGAAGCTCAGCCACCTCCTGGTTGCCCTGAGGTGCCCTCTCTCATTTGGCCAAGGGGCTCTTCTTTGACTGCTGGAGACACCAAATCCTCACTAAGCTACCTGATTCCTGTTGCTCTAGGTCAGAGGTAGGGAACCTTGGCTCTTTTATGACTTGCGGACTTCAACTCTCAGAATTCCTGAGCCAGCATGGCTGTTCAGGAATTCTGGGTATTGAAGTCCACAAGTCATAAAAAAGCAAGGTTCCCTACCCCTGCCTTAGGTATTCCTCCTCTCCACAAAGCATGGCTTCTTTGCCCCCCTACCCCATATGTCAATTTAGAGCCATGATGACAATGGTTAGATTGCAATATTGCAGGCTAATTCCACTGACTGCCGGCAGTTCAATTCTCACCGGCTCAAGCTTGACTCAGCCTTCCATCCTTCAGATGTGGATAAAATAAGGACCCAGATTGTTGGGGACAATATGCTGACTCTGCAAACCGCTTAGAGAGGGCTGTAAGGAACTGTGAAGCAGTCTAGAAGTCCAAGTGCTACTGCTATTTGTTGTTAATTGCGAAGTCGTGTCTCACCCATCGCGACCCCATGGACAACGTTCCTCCAGGTCTTCCTGTCTGCCATCTTCTGGAGTCCATTTAAGCTCACGCCTACTGCTTCAGTGACTCCATCCAGCCACCTCATTCTCTGTCGTCCCATTCTTCTATTGCCCTCAATATTTCCCAGCATTAGGCCCTTCTCCAGTGAGTCCTTCCTTCTCATTAGGTGGCCAAAGTATTTGAGTTTCAACTTCAGGATTTTCATGGATTACTGCCTAAATTTTGCAACGAGAAGCTCATGATCTGAGCCACAGTCAGCTCCTGGTCTTGTTTTTACTGACTGTATAGAGCTTCTCCATCTTTGGCTGCAGAGCACATAGTCAATCTGATTTCTGTGTTGACCGTCTGGTGATGTCCATGTGTAGAGCTGTCTCTTGGGTTGTTGGAAAAGACTGCTATTTAGTTACTGCTATTTAGAAGCAAGCAAAAACAACCGTGAAGGCCGCGATTTTCCCAAGCGAATGTTCTCCTTTTCTGGAGGTGTGGAGGAAACCCTGACAACGCATTTGCACTATAAAGGATCTATCGTTTGCTTTACAGGGTTACTTTGTTTTTGTTCATTCATTGGTGCATTTATAAGCTGCCTTTCCTCTCAAAAGTTCAAGGCTGACTATGCGGGTGTACCCTCACTTCATTAATCGCGCAACAATCATTTTGGCAGTCGTTTGGTCTGAAAGACTCCAAGCCACCCGAGGGCGTTCGTAGCCTCCCGGTACTCCCACCCCCACCCAACTACATTGCACCGGCTCCCGCTTTTGGTCTTCAAGTGCCCAGAGCCGCTGCAGTCAGGCTTTAGTTTCCCCCTAAAACTGAGCACGTTTGCTTGGCTTGGGGAGAAAGCTTTGCCACGTTTAGGGTTCTGTCGTCCAGCTCGCCTCCCAAACTGCAGTCCAGTTGAGGATTTGGAAGTCAGAAGAAAAAGCTTGCAAGGATGTTCGTCGGCTCCCCTTCAACGGCCAGCGAGGCACTTCCACTCTCCCTCCGAAGCTGTTTCGAGGAAGGTCAAAAGCGACGGCTTATAGGGTTGCCAGGTCTGCTTCCAAAAAATAGCGGACAAGCGGGGGGGGTGGTTAAGTAGTAAAAAAAGTAGACTGTACAGCTTTAGATTACGTACCATTTCATCATAAAGCTTTTGAATAAAAAAAAATGTCCACTATTTTGTGAAAAAAAAATAGTGAACATAATGTGAAAAAAGTGGACTGTCCACTCAAATAGTGGACACCTGGCAACCCTAACGGCTTAAAGTTTCAAATTTAGCAGAAATGGCCAAGATTTCCGCTTATGTGAAGGATTACTCACAAGAAAGATATATTTTGGTTTGGAGAAGATGGATAGATTATATTGAGAGTAAATATGGTACTAAAAAGTTTCATTTGGTTTTTGAGTAAATTTTAGAGTGTTAATGTAGTTTATATTTATAATTATTAATATGATGTTGTAATTATTGTGTTTAATATGTTTGTTTAAAAGAGAGTTAAAGGATGTTATAGATTTGTTAATCTAATAGTTGATTAATGTNAGGAATGTAGCACATTTGCTTTGTCACAGAGAAGGCATTTATTTACATACAATACTTTTATTTACATATATTTCTATGTATCCAGCTTCCAAGACTCCGGGTAGCTTACTATACAAAAATAACCAACAGATTCCATACAATCTTACAATCAACCTACATAACAGTAACTTATTAAAAATACCTCCCTTTTTACAACCCTGTAGTCCCTTAATTTGGGGTAGAGTCAGGGCAACTGAATGGAGCTGAGCGTTTACTGGCCAGATGCTCTTCCTGACGCTTTGCGGAGTTCACAGATTTCTTTGTCCCTACAGGATAAAAATCAGAGAAACATAATCTATGGCATTCCTAAATGCACCCTTGCCTATCTCATCCACATACTGTCTTTGTTCCAACACTGAAATGGCTTGCTAACTTAGAATTTGTTTTTAAAAAATGGCTGTGCCCTTATATTTATTCCTTCCACACCCATCCTGAGGACAGTTAAGCTGAGGGTGACCAGCCCAAAGTCACCAATGAAACTTCTGTGAGTGAAGTAGACCCAGATGAGTGTCGCTATTTAAAGTCCAATAACCTTAACTAGCATACCATACTGGCTTTTTTTCTATGGAGTTTCTCAATCCAGGTCGTGGTTGTCCCAAAGGTGCTTTTCCAAAAGGCAACTGAACTTGCTTTTTTTTTCAGTTCTGAAGAAGAACTAAAGAAGCTTCTTGGATGAAAAGAGAAATGTTTTCAAGGGAAAAAACTGGTTGCCTCTTGGAAAAGCACATTTGGACCATGCTGGCTTCCACAAATCCTCATAAGAGAGCCCTCCAACCTTTGTGCAGGCTTACCTCTGAGCTGGTCTAAGCTGAAGTATTATCCATTGACCAACAAGGCAATCTCTGAGAACACTAATTCGCCATAGAGGAGTCTCGGGAAGCTCAGCCACCTCCGGGTTGCCCTGAGCTGCCCTCTCTCATTTGGCTAAGGGCTCTGCTTTGACTGCTGGAAACAAGAGATCCTCACTAAGCTACCTGGGTGATTCCTGTTGCCCTAGGTCAGGGGTAGGGAACCTTGGCTCTTTTATGACTTGTGGACTTCAACTCCCAGAATTCCTGAGCCAGCATGGCTGGTTCAGGAATTCTGGATATTGAAGTCCACAAGTCATAAAAAAGCAAGGTTCCCTACCCCTGCCCTAAGTCTTCACAAAGCATGGCTCCTTTGCCCCCCTCCCCCATATGTCAGTTTAGAGCCATGATGACACAGTGGTTAGATTGCAATATTGCAGGCTAATTCTGCTGAGTGCCGGCAGTTCGATTCTCACCGGCTCAAGCTTGACTCAGCCTGCCATCCTTCAGATGTGGATAAAATAAGGACCTAGATTGTTGGGGACAATATGCAGACTCTGCAAACCTCTTAGAGAGGGCTGTAAGGAACTGAAGCAGTATATAAGTCCCAGTGCTACTGCTATTTGTTGTTAATTGCAAAGTCATGTCCGACCCATCGTGACCCCATGGACAACATTCCTCCAGGTCTTCCTGTCCTCTGCTATCTTCTGGAGTCCATTTAAGCTCATGCCTACTGCTTTAGTGACTCCATCCAGCCACCTCATTCTCTGTCGTCCCCTTCTTCTATTGCCCTCAATCTTTCCCAGCATTAGGCCCTTCTCCAGTGAGTCCTTCCTTCTCATTAGGTGGCCAAAGTATTTGAGTTTCAACTTCAGGATCTTCATGGATTACTGCCTAAATTTTGCAACCATGATCTGAGCCACAGTCAGCTCCTGGTCTTGTTTTTACTGATTGTATAGAGCTTTTCCATCTTTGGCTGCAGAGCACATAGGCAATCTGATTTCTGTGTTGACCGTCTGGTGATGTCCATGTGTAAAGCTGCCTCTTGGGTTGTTGGAAAAGAGTGCTATTCAGCTACTGCTATTTAGAAGCAAGCAAAAACAACCGTGAAGGCTGCGATTTTCCCAAGCGAATGTTCTCCTTTTCTGGAGGTGTGGAGAAAACCCTGACAACGCATTTGCATTATAAAGGATCTATGGTTTGCTTTACAGGGTTACTTTGTTTTTATTCATTCATTGGTGCATTTATAAGCTGCCTTTCTTCTCAAAAGTTCAAGGCTGACTATGCGGATGTATCTAGGGTTGCCAGGTCTGCTTCCAAAAAATAGCGGACAAGCGGGGGGGGGGGGGGTTAAGTAGTAAAAAAAGTAGACTGTACAGCTTTAGATTACGTACCATTTCATCATAAAGCTTTTGAGTAAAAAAAATGTCCACTATTTTGTGAAAAAAAATAGTGAACATAATGTGAAAAAAGCGGACTGTCCACTCAAATAGTGGACACCTGGCAACTGTATCCTCACTTCATTAATCGCAAAACAATCATTTTGGCAGTAGTTTGGCCTGAAAGACTCCAAGCCACCCGAGGGCGTTCGTAGCCTCCCGGTACACCCACCCCCACCCAACTACATTGCACCGGCTCCCGCTTTTGGTCTTCAAGTGCCCAGAGCCGCTGCAGTCAGGCTTTAGTTTCCCCCTAAAACTGAGCACGTTTGCTTGGCTTGGGGAGAAAGCTTTGCCACGTTTAGGGTTCTGTCGTCCAGCTCGCCTCCCAAACTGCAGTCCAGTTGAGGATTTGGAGGTCAGAAGAAAAAGCTTGCAAAGATGTTCGTCGGCTCCCCTTCGACGGCCAGCGAGGCACTTCCACTCTCCCTCCGAAGCTGTTTCGAGGAAGGTCAAAAGCGGCGGAAAGTCTCCTCCCCGGAACTGGAGGCTGAGTCGAAACGAGAAACGGCCAAGGCCCATTGGCAGGCGGGAGCCCGGAGGTGGAGCCGCCCTCTGCAGAGCCAACCCGCCGCTCCTTCACTCTGGGTGCCCGGGAGGCCGTCGTAGCGCATGGAGGGCTGGGCCAGGAGCTCGCTATGGGGGGCCAGGCGGCTGTGGGCTCCCCACGCCCACATGACGCGAAGCCGGGTGGTCTGTGGGCGCCTCCTGAATCTCCGGCCGTTATCGGGTGAGTCCAAGACTTTTTCCTCGCCTCTGACCCGAGTGGGCCGGCCTCGGCTGCCTGAGCTGCAACTGAGCAAACTGGGGGGAGATTTGGGTTGCTGGCCTTTAGGTCGCGAAGATTTTCTGAGTAGAATGAAAAAAAATGCCCTCTTTTCTTTGGCGGCCTTTCCCGAGTTTACGCCACCCTTGGGGGGATTGCGGGTGCCGACGTTCGTCTTGTCTAGAAGCATCAGGTGGGAAGGCTATCCGAGGTATAGAGTTAGGTGTTGGTCTGATTGTCTGCCTTTGGGATCAGTATCGAATTGTGGCTTGAAATAAACCTTCCTCCTGCCCCCCCTCCCTTTAAAAATCTAACATATACTGCATCTGTTGCATTTCTGCCTATTTGGTCATTTTTGTCTGCTTCTTAGCCATTGTATTCCTAGGTAAAAGTTATGCAGATCCACTGGTATTTGCAAACCCTCTTTTTACGTAACGTCGTTGTATTGGTTGAAATATGCATTTCCCAATTACTTCCGACCTTGAAATACAACAATAATAATGATATACAGAATGTGGGATTTCCCAAAATGTGAACAATTTAATTTTTTAGTTGCAGTCGTAGACAGGCAAAAATAATGAAACTGTCATACAGAATTAAATTCTTACATGCTAGTGATGGTAACACAAAAAGAATGGAGGCCATTATTGCATTTTCAAATGAAGAAAAAGGTTCTTACTTGTAAATATGGTCAGTCAGTCAAAATAATTCAGAAGAGTATTTGGACTGGCTGACCATGTTTAGCAGGTAAGAATTTAATCCAAGTCCTGCCTGTCTTTTAGACCTCATATAATCCTGTGATTAATGTCTTCTGTCAAAGCTAAATCTTAAGAGCAGAGAGGTATTTATCCTGCTCAGTCAGTGGTAGAGATACATAATAAATGAAATAGATTAAGAGAGATAAAACACATTTGCCTTTAGGCTTTGGATATGTCTTTTCACATCATTAATCTGTACATCACTAGTTGATTAATTTTGTACATACACCTACATACTTACATATGTATATAATACATTTGTAAATAAATACATAATTTTAATATTAGAAATGAGGGTGAGTGAGGTGGAACTTGACCAAGAATACTGCCCACTGTAGAAACAAACATGTATTTGTGACGTTAGATGTAATGTTAGGTTTCAATAATTTTTGTTTAAAAATGCATTTAAAATGTAAACTGAAAATAAAAATGGAATTCATGTAAAGCAATGCCTTATGTATTATTGAGATAATCACTTCGTAGTACACATATTTAAATCAAGAGTTCCTGAATCCAGTATTCTAAAAATGGAATTCCATTCACTCTCCTGTCTCCTCTCTATATATCCTGTAAACATCTCAGCAGATTTCAGGGATGAATGGGAAATTGGGGAAATGAGGAATCTGGTTTGCTAATGGATTTTAGTCAACCAATATATATTATTGGAATTAGTCTGTGATCACAAACAAATTTATTACGGCTTTGGCAAATGTGCCCTTAAAAAAATATGTTTCTTATAATCACTCTTTGGAAGACCTGTAAGTTAAAAGTTTTGCTTTTTATCAGGGAATCACAAAAGTCAACTTCATCGGATATTTCAAGAATCGTTTTGTATTAAAGTACAGTCAAATTATGGTGAACTTGTAAATTTGACTAAAGTGAGAAACAAAATGTAAGTATAGTATTTTGATTTACTGGTAATTATTCATAATTATATTTATGGAAAATATACTTCATAATAAATTATCATTTGTAAGAACATTCTAATAAGAATGGCAATTCAAGTTCTTTTTTATATAATGTTCATAAGTGGGAAATTATAGTGCACTAAACTAATGCCCTCTGGATGCATCGGGACTTCCAGTTTTGGTCACCAATGATGTAAAAAAAGATGCTGAAACTCTAGAAAGAGTGCAAAGATGCTCAAGGGACTGGAGGCTAAAACATATAAAGAACGGTTGCAGGAATTGGGTATGCCTAGTTTAATGAAAAGAAGGAAGAGAGGGGACATAATAGCAGTGTTCCAATATCTTAGGGGCTGCCACAAAGAAGTGGGGGGGCACCTTATTCTCCAAAGCACCTGAAGGCAGGATTAGAAGCAATGGATGGAAACTAATTAAGGAGAGAAACAATCTAGAACTAAGGAGAAATTTCCTGACAGTTAGAACAATCAGTGGAACGACTTGTCACCAGAAGTTGTGGGTGTTCCATCACTGGAGATTTTTAAGAAGAGATTGGACAACCATTTATCTGAAATGGTATAGGGTTTCCTGCTTGAGCAGGGGGTTGGACTAGATCAGGGGTGTCAAACTCGCAATGTCACATGACGTGTCATGACGTATCATGACTTTTTTGCCATTGCCGGCATTGAGGTAGGCGCAGTTTTGTTATGATGCATCCAGCCCGCAGGCTGGCAGTTTGAAACCCCTGGACTAGATAGAAGACCTCCAAGGTCCCTCTTGTTATTCTGTTAACTTGAAGTCTCACATCTTCCAACAAACTAAGCATCACAGTAGATAAAGATTACCTCCCCTGCATATGGATTGCATATAGCATACGGATTCAAAGTTCCAATATCTGGAATGTGTCATAATTATGTATTACATAATATGTTATATACTTGTTATAATCACGTATAACATAATGTTATAGATACTATGAGCAGGACTTTAAAAAGTGTTTGGCTAGGCCTAACCAAAATACCATCTAACCCAAAAGAAGTTGGGTAGATGCTTTTTTGATGTTCAAAAACAGAATATGAAAGTCCCCAGTTGTGCCTACTGGTATTCCAACTCATATTAATCATTTCTTGAATATAGAGATTCCATTTATCTAACTTTAAGATTTAATTCTAGTTTGTTTGCATCCTTTAAATTATTTAAGACAATGTATGTCACCACCTATTTTAACACTACATGTATTAATTCATTATAGAGTGCCTGAAATATTTCCTTTTGTCAGTCAGTGGAACTATAGTTCCAAAATGCTATTTGAAAGAGAAGCTTATCTTTTGCTGTTTCCATTCTCTCATTCATATTTTTTTATGTATTAGTGTTCTGTTATTCTAAAATAAAAGCCCCAAATGCCTCAGCATTTTCTCAGACATCACTTCCATGCATACAACTGAACATTGGTTTCGGCTGCATTTCTGAATTTATCTACTTCTATTTTTTGATAAGAATGAAACTAAATATTGAAAACTGTATACTGTATTGGTTTGACAAATCCATGTTTTCTGCAAACAAAGTTACTTGTTACATTTTTCAATCATTTTTGCTAATTGTGTTTGACCTGACAAAACTTTTGTTTAGGACATTTACAGATCAACCATACAGCACTTGGCAAACAGTAGATCCAGAAGAACTTAGAAGATTCCAACGGCTGGCACACAAATGGTGGGATGAGGATGGAGACTATGCAGCCCTGCATTCTATGAATGATATCAGAGTGCCTTTTATTAGGTAAATTTTTAAAATACGTTAACATTTTCAAGCTTTTGCTAGGAATTTGAAATTAGTAAGAATTATCCACTTTCAAAATTGAATCATAGCCTTAGTTAGCACTGTTTAGTTAAACCTTGTGTGGATCCAAAACTGTAAAGTACAGTGCATATAAAAATTTACACACTCCTGTTAAAATGCCGGGTTTTTGAGATGTGAAAAAAAATCAAACCAAAATAAATCACTTCAGAAGTTTTTTTTTCACCTTTAATATAAGTTGTACAATTTAACTGAAAAACAAACTGAAATTTTGTAGGGGAAAAAATAAAAATAAAACTCTGACAATTACATGGTTGCATAAATGTGCACACCCTTAAACCAATACTCTGTTGAAGCACCTTTTGGTTTTATGACAGCATTCAGTCGACCAGCATGGCACATCTTGCCTTGAGAATCTTTGCCCATTCTTCCTTGCACAAGTGCTCCAAATCTGTCAGATTGTATGAGGGCATTTCCTGCGCACAGCCCTTTTCAGGTCACCCCATAAATTTTCAACTGGAGTCAAGTCTGAACTCTGGCTGGGCCATTCCAAAAGTTTGATCATCTTCTGGTGAAGACATTCCTTTTTTGTTCGTTTGGAGGTATGCTTTGGGTACTTACGTTGAAAGATGAAATTCTTCTTCCTCTTCAGGAAGACCTTTTAGCAGAGGTCTGTAGGTTTTGTGCCAAAATTGAGTGATTGGAACTATTCCTAATTCCCTCCACCTTAACTAAAGTCCCAGTTCCAGCTGACGAAAAGCAGCCCTGAAGCATAATGCTGCCACCATCGTGCTTCACTGTGGGCATGGTGTACTTTTGGTGATGCACAGTGTACTTTTTGCACCAAACATACTTATTGGAATTATGGCCAAAAGATCTCATCAGACCGGAACACATTTTCCCACATGCTTTTGTGAGATTTGATGTAGGTTTCTGCAAAATGTATCTGGGCTTGGATGTTTTTCTTTATAAGAAAAGACTTCCATCTTGCACCCTACCCCACAGCCCATACATACAAAGAATATGTTGTCCCATGTAGTACATGATCAGTATTTGCTAGAAATTCCTGCAGCTCCTTTAATGTTGCTGTAGATCATTTGGCAGCCCCTGGGAGGAGTTTTTCATCAATTTTGGAGGGACACCCAGTTCTTGGTAATGTCATTGTTGTGTCATATTTTCTCCACTTGTTGATGTCTGTCTTCACTGTGTTCTATGGTATATCCAATGCTTTGGAAAGCTTTTTGTAACCTTCTCCTGACTGATACCTTCCAACAATGAGATTGCATTGATACTTTGTAAGCTCTTTGCAGACCAGGCCTTTTGCTGTAAGAGTAAATGTCAGACAAATCCTACTAGAACAGCTGAACTTTATATGGGCTTGATCAGAGTCACTTTAACTGATGGCAGGTGTATACCGACTACTATTTAACATCAGTTTGAATGTGATTGGTTAATTCTGAACACAGCCACATCCCTATTTATAAGAGGATGTGCACACATATGCAACCATGTTATTGTATGTTTTTATTTTTTCCCTGAGAAGATTAAAGTTTGTTTTAAATGAATTGTACAGCCTACATGTTATATGAAAGGTGGAAAAAATTCTGAAGTGATTTACCTTGTTCTGATTTTTTTTTATATCTCAAAAGCCTGCCATTTTAATAGGGATATGTTGACTTTATATCTAGTGTATAATTAATGGTAAATTAAACAAGTAGTACACTTCTCTCTGTATATCTACTGAGAAGTCAGTCCCTGAATTTTACCATCACCATTTGCAAGACAGTGACAATATTAATTAAGGAATATTTTGATCAATTACAGCTATATTTTTGAGTAAATGTTGCTTCTGGAGGTGTGTGGTGATAAATATTGTAACAGTGTATGTTGAAAACAAAGTTGTTGATAATAAATTGATTTTTCTCTTTATGACACTTTAAAAGAATAAAATATTACAGCTGTGGTAATATGCACAAGTATTATTTGTTTTAATTAAATCATACTTGTTTTCTATTTTGTATAAGAGATACTATATTGAATCTGAGAAATGACCATCAGCCAGGAAGCCCACTCTTTAACATGAAGATCCTAGATGTTGGCTGCGGTGGTGGACTACTAACTGAGGTAGCAATTGCACATTTGATGATGATGAATGTCATTCTCTTCTGCCTTTAATTAATAGGAGGAAACGCCAAGCTTTTTAATAATTTTTTTTATTTCTTTAAAAACTCTGTTCAGCTAAGGTTAACTCTCCTTGAAAGCACAAAGACATTTGCTTTCAGCATCATGGGAATTGCTGTCATATTTTACCCAGATTAGGGTTACCCACATTTTACCCAGATGTTGAGACTCTAGAAAGAGTACAGAGAAGAGCAACAAAGATGATGAGGGGACTGGAGGCTAAACATATAAGGAACGGTTGCTGGAATTGGGTATGTCTAGTTTAATGAAGAGAAGGACGAGGGGGGACATGATAGCAGTGTTCCAATATCTCAGGGGCTGCCACAAAGAAGAGGGAGTCAAGCTATTTTCCAAGGTGCCTGAAGGCACGACAAGAAGCAACAGATGAAACTAATCAAGGAGAGAAGCGACCTAGAACTAAGGAGAAACTTCCTGACAGTTAGAACAATTAACCAGTGGAACAACCTGCCTCCAGAAGCGGTGAATGCTCCAACACTGGAAGTTTTTAAGAAGAGATTGTCCGAAATGGTATAGGGCAGTGATGGCAAACCTTTTAGAGACCGAGTGCCCAAACTGCAACCAAAAACCCACTTATGTATTATCTGGTGCCGGGTGGGTGTGTCCAATTGGGTGGGCGTGGCCCATTGGGTGGACGTGGCTGTGGTGGTAACGGTAGACTGGGTGAGACTAAAAACTTCAATCAATCAGTTCCAACTTTGCGAGATCTTTTTTTTCCTGCGAGAAGTTGAAATTGATTGAACCTTTTCTTTTTTGCACACGGCAGCGGAGGCCTAAAGCGAAAACGTTTTATAAAACCCAGCTGAACGGCTAGGACTGGGGTGACGGCGCGCGTGCCCACAGAGAGGGCCCTGCGTGCCACCTGTGGCACGCGTGCCATAGGTTCGCCACCACGGGTATAGGGTTTCCTGCCTGAGCAGGGAGTTGGACTAGATGACCTCCATGGTCCCTTCCAACTTTATTATTATTATTATAAGTAGCTAGTAAGAAACAGGCTACATGTTTTATATTGCCATTTAGGGCAGGAAACCTGATCTTTACCAGCCAGCAAAAAACTTCATCAGGGGGCGGGATAGCTGGTTTCCCCATTGCTGATTAAAGAGAGAACTCCACCATCTGCAGTGGGTTATTAAGATAGAAAGGAACTAAGGCAAATGTAAGGGGACTGAATATGTCTGTGCTTGTGAAGATGTGCGGGCATTAGAATGACTTTATACACATGTGTGATTCCTAACTCAGAAATTGTGCATCTCTTGGCCATAAAATGTTTTCCAAACACTACAGCATGAAATATTGGCTTTAAATCCTTCTGCTTTATTGAAATTTCCACCACATTTGCCATTACTCCATTTGAGTGATTTTAAATTACAGTTTTGGGCAAATGGCACGTTTTTTCCCCCCGAAACCTTTAAAAAAAACTTTAATTATAATTATATTTGTCTCATTTAATCAGTTACAAAATAAGAGACAGAATTAGTCTAAGGCAAAAGAAAAGGTAACTGTTAACAGGTCTAAGAAACATTTTTGGGTAGCCAATATTTTACGACAGGGCTTTTCAACCTTTTCACCCATTGTACCACATTTAGGATATGGCAACATCCGAGTACCACCAGTCGCCTAGCAAGGTGTCAAAAACTTGATGACCAAAAAAAAAAAAAAAAAGGAAAAAAGTGATAAAGTACAGGTAGTCCTCGACTTACAACAGTTCGCTTAGTGACTGTTCAAAGTTACAATGGCACTGAAAAAAGTGCCCTCCAAGCCATAGCCGAGCAAGACACCTGCCTGCCCACCTGGCGGCGCTCTTCCTCCTGTCTGAGGTTTCCATTGTTGTGAGCATTTCTTTTGAGGATAGGCAGTGGGGGTGGGGTGGGGGCTGTTTGGTTTTTATTCCCCCACCCCGTGTGCTGGGTGGTTGCAGCAGATTTTGGTTACTTCACATGACCCTGGGACACTGTGACCGTCATAAATATGAATCAGTTGCCAAGCATCTGAATGTAAATCACAAGACCCTGGAGATGCTGCAACATTCCAGCTGATCAGCGCTTCTGGGCTCAGCAGAAGCACCAGGATCAGCGCCGAGCTCCAGCTGGAACCTGGCGCTGATCCTGGCGCTTCCACTGAGCCCTGACAGCCCCGAAGAAGCGCCGATCAGCTGGAAAGCGGCACTGATCCTGGTGCTTCCGCTGAGCCCTGACAGCCCTGCAGCTCCAGCCATCTCTCGCTCAGGCTTGTGCGGTGCTGCCACCGGTTCAGCTCATTCCCCTCCCCCGTGACTTTTTTAGGACGTTCGCGTACCACCTGCCAGGTGCCAATGTACCACAGGTGGTACCCGTACCACTGGTTGAAAAGCCCTGTTTTAGGATACCCAACTTCAGGATAATCAACTAAAAAGTTCCATAATGAAACGTTAGGATTCATGTTTTATTGCAATATTTATTTTTAGAGGGCAAGGAAGCATTAGCATTAAGCTTAAGTAACTTTAGTTATATTTGAAGGTGATACGAAGTTTTTTTCATAGTTTAATATAGGAGAAAATGACATATTTATGATATTAGCCCTTAGCTAGACTGGGAGCTTCAGTTACTGGAATTGATCCTTTGGAAGACAGCATCCGGACAGCGGAACTGCATAAATCATTTGATCCAGCCCTTACCAAAAGGATTCAGTACAGAGCCTGTGCACTAGAAGATATTGTGGAAGAGGGATCAGAAAAATTTGACATAGTTGTTGCTTCTGAAGTAGTAGAACATGTGGCTGACGTTGAAAAGTTCATCAAATGCTTTGGTGAAGTATTAAAAGTAAGTTTAAAAAATGATAAAGTAGATCTCAGTGCTATATTTTTTTTTACTATAAAGATCGGGTTTTTTGCATTTATGTTTCTTTTTACTTTAGTCTCTCATTGCTCCAAGGTAAAATTTTGTTCATAATATATTCTGATTATCTAGACTGAACACAGTCAGAATCTTCATATTATTCCCTTTCCATTCCGAAAATATTGATCTAGGCAATCTAAATGGTGAATAAATATGAATTTTATTCATTTATTTTATTTTGTACGTTATTCAATTTTTCCCTAGGGATTTGGGCAAAGAGC